TACACTATAATCATGGGTACGATGTGTCCCTGGTATAGGACACACTTTAATCTGGTTACGATGTGCCCCTGGTATAGGACACACTTTAATTTGGTTACGATGTGTCCCTGTTATAGGACACACTTTAATCTGGTTACGATGTGTCCCTGGTATAGGATACACTTTAATCTGGTTACGATGTGTCCCTGGTATAGGACACACTTTAATCTGGTTACGATGTGTCCCTGGTATAGGACACACTTTAATCTGGTTACGATGTGTCCCTGGTATAGGATACACTTTAATCTGGTTACGATGTGTCCCTGGTATAGGGCACACTTTAATCTGGTTACGATGTGTCCCTGGTATAACAAGCTGAACCCTTTGTGTCAGCATTATTTTTCAGATCTCGCTCCTCATGTAAATGTCATGCCACCGTTTCTAAAATATAATCACTTGTATGTAATAAAATCTATTTTCATGTTCAATCTGTTGATATCGGGGGATATTGTCACCAACTGATAAGAAATATAATTAATGCACGGCATTATGATGTGTTAAATATTGGATAGTCGCAGTATTCCCTTAAAACATTCTGCACTTTTATTTAGTGTCTTAAATTGTGTCGACGTTTTTGACCGAAATGTGCGGCAAATACGAAAAGTTAATTATTAACCCAAAATATAATAATTCAAGCACCATGTAATACATGACGAGCAATGCTGAGTAACAACGAGCCGTGCCGTTTCTTATTTTAGGTACAACGAGGATAAGTCTTTAATATTTTGGGTGAATGAAGAAGACCATTTAAGAATCATTTCTATGCAGATGGGAGGAGATATGAAAGAAGTATTTACTCGTTTCTGTGATGGGATAAATCAGGTGATTTAAGTTATCTGTTTGCTACATACATAACAGAATACGTGGGTCAGAACAAATTCACCCTTTATTATTCTGACTGTTATGGTTCTGATCAACGGAAACGTAAATACTGTTATATAAATGTACTCAGACTGTCCGTATGTTCTCGAGACCCCTTGCCCGTTATTGACCGAGTTTTTGGGTTATGTGGTTTAGTCAATAGCATAATGCGATCTTAAATGCTAACTATGATTAGTTTAATCACCAATGGCTGCGACTAATTAATGCAAATACTTGCAACTAGTTAACCAATGTCACCATACTACGCTATATTCTCCCCGAATTTTCAGCACAATACACTTAGACCATGAGCCGGTATTGGTGACCTCACATACGAATACGCATTCATTTGTCTTTACGTGGCACGGCGTACGGTACACCCATTCCATATCTTCCACATATTCCTTGCTGACGCATTGTGTTGGCCTTCCGCGCCTTTTTGACCGCTTATATTTTTATTTCACTGACATATGAAAGGGAGATATTTTTGACGAAGCACGCCGCTAAATGCGGCAACCACAAAGTTTTTGAGGAATGGTGAATTTGTATAAAACAAAATGAGACACGATGTTTAATATTGTATTATTTATGTGTTTGTTTCTAAGGTTGATGACCAGATCAGTAAATAACTTAACTTTACAAATATGTTTCGTTTCAAAGTTTTTGAATATGACGTAAGGATTGGTAAAAAAATACATGACATTTTTTTTATTAGGTTGAGAAAACCATAAAACTGATGAATCGTGAGTTCATGTTCAATGATAAACTCGGCTATATTAATACGTGTCCAAGTAACATCGGAACTGGACTCAGAGCAAGTGTTCATATTAGATTGCCAAGATTAACAAACCATCCAGCGTTTAAAGGGGTTGTAACTAAGCTAAATCTTGAATGTCGCGGATTAGGTAAGTATTCCATATTTGTGCCGCCTTATATCGAGTTCAATTTTAACTAAATGTGATAGGTATTTTTGATTTTTAAAAACCTTTCACTAAGGTAACCGGGATTCGATTGTTCTCCACGCTGGACTCACAAAAAACACGCACAAGCTCTGTTCATGTCCATACGATTCTCCGCTTGTTCCCAGCTTTCACCCGAGACAACTTTAAATCACTCTTTATTACTTGTCACTCATTAGCCAATTACAATCAGTATAAAAGACTCCAAGGCCTTGCCTTCAAACAAACAGCCAATCACATGAAAGTTTTACACATCATAATCAATTGATTAATCGTCAATCTATTAAGACAACTACTATCATATTGTCAACGTCAATTTATATTTATGGGTTTAATAGTCTTGCAATAACATTCCACAAAGACACCGCATAAGTTTGAAATCGCAAACACCAAGTTTTGGGTTACGACCACCATACTCTGTAATCTTAAAAGTTGCAAACTCATGAGATGTCTCTGCTGATTTCGACTAGTTCGCCATCTGGCCTCATCATTAACCTTTATCAGTAATTTAACCTTTATCAGTAGATGCCATGGCAACCACTATAAGCTGAC